TCGTTTACAGAGGGGTTCCCATCGAAATCCTCCACGGAAGAATTCTTATTGCACTCCTCCACATATGGATTCCGATTGAAGTCTTCCACAGCAGGATTCTTCGTGGAATCCTCCACAAGGTGGATTCCTCTTGAATCTGCCCACATGAGTTGAAACCTTGCACAACAGGATTTCGAATGAAATCCTCGACAAAAGGTTCCCGATTGGAATCCTTTACAGAAAGGCTTTTGCTCAAACCCTATTGAAATCCTCAGCAGGAGTGGAAACCTTCCACAGCAGGATTTCGAATGAAGACCTCGACAGAAAGGTTCCTATTGGAATCCTAGAAAAAACAACGGGTTCCTATTGAAATCCTCCCAATCTGGATTCCTATTGAAATCCTCTGCAGAAGGATGCCTATTGAAATTCTTGATAGACGGAGTCCTACTGAAAGCCTCCACAGCAGGATTCCGATCGAAACCCTCCACAGCAGGATTCCGATCGAAATCCTCGACATAAGGACTCCTATTGAACTCCTCCACAGAAGGATTCCTATGGAACTCCGCCACAGAAGGATTCTTGTTGAAATCCTCCACCGAAAGATTCCTATTGGATTCCTCCCCTGAAGGATTCCTGTTGGAATCCTCCATAGAAGGTTTTTTTTTATCGAGATCCTCCCAAGAAGGATTCTTATTGAACCCCTTGAAATCGTTTGCGCTGTCGTTCACGATGAGGCACTCTGCGTCATGGTTATAAGACACGAACAAATGCGCCCGACGCATCGTTGCCATGAACTTGCGGATTTTCAGGGGGACGGGGATGCCCGAGCCCCGCCGTGGGGCGCCTTTGGGGGACAGCTCAGGGGCCTCTTGGGAGCCATCTTGGGGGACTCTCGGGCCTCTTGGGTGCCTCTTGGCTCCTGGGAGCCTCTCGTAGCCGAGGGCTCGAAATGTCCGTTCGGGTCCCTCGTTTGGGCGCCCTGTTGGAGCTGTCTGGGGGGCCTCGGCCGTCTTGGAGGCGCCTTGGGCTGTCTTCGGGCCCTCTTGGGCCGTTTTGGCCCTTGGGCCGTCTTGGGGCGATCTGGGGGGCCGAACCGCCCGAGGGGGAGTTGCATATTCCCTGGGGCCCCTTCGAGACCCCCCCGGGACCCCGCCCGGGACCCCGCCCCCGGGATCTCCCCCCCCCGCGGGGAAGAGATCAAAGGGAACGGGCTTCCCTTCGACTCAACTACAACTTTGCTCAATATCGCTGTGGCTGGCGCGTTCGAGAAGGAGGGCCCGGTGAAAGTGGAGGGAGCGGTGACGAGCCTAGGGAAAGGCGGAGGAGGAGCCGAGAAGGCGACGACGACGACGGCGACGACAACGACCACGACGACGACGACGACGACGAGTCAAATGGAACAGCCTCTTCCACACGCCAACAGGGTCCGCGGATTTGTGCCAACATGTGCTACAACATCCCACCACCGTGCCTGTGCTGCGGGTCAGAGTTCTCAGGGATCTTGCCTCTGGTCTCTTCGGCGCGACCCCGCGGGTTCTCCGGGGTCTCTTAGGGGACCTCTTAGGCGCCTCTTAAGGGCCCGCTGGGGGCCTCTTGGAGCCTACTGGAGGCCTCTTGGGGCCTCCTAGCGGCCCATCGGGGCCGAGGGCTCGAAATATCCGCTCGGGTTCCCCATCTGGGCACCCTCTCGGGGCCGTTTGGGGGCCCTCCTGGGCGCCTCTTGGGCCGTCAGGGGGCCCTCTTGGGCTGTCTGGGGGTCCTCTCTGGGGCGTCTTGGGCCGTTTCCGGACGGTCTTTACGTCGTACGATGTCCGGGTGGCTAACACTTACTACGACCATCCAATCATCATGAAGATCTTGTTTAGGAATCATGGCATCGATCCCACAGACAACTACATATCTGAACGTAAGATTGCTCAACTTGACCACGTGATGTGCGATCGCAGCGTTTTACGCACTGTCAAGGATATCTGGACGAGCCGACGAGACGTACTGAACACATAACTTCCTCACCATTTCGGAGTCAACTTTGACATTCAGTGTCGAAGAACCCCTAACTAGGAGTGCATGGACACGTCGAGCCTCAAACATCCACACACAAAAGACTTCTGCATATCAGCATTTGTAAGGGCCGTCGGCAGCTCAATGGATAATGACAAGGAGTCGGTCGATGATGCGAACTGTTCGGTTCGACATGTGTTCGAAAAAAAAAACAGCGGAAGTGTTGCTCACAAGAGAAGTTGCCCCAAAGTTTGACTTGATCGAGCAGCCCAGAATTGCACCTTCGAGCATGGATCACATAGTTGAAAACGGCTTCACAAAATGATTCGGAAATCAGGGGCGCCAGATCGAACAGACTGACTGGCCGTATTAATACAATGGGGAGATCAGGAAGCATTTCGACATCTCCGAGAACCCGCAAGTATTAAACATGTGTCGATACAGCGTCTTGATGGAATTCTTGCAGACACACCTTAACAAGCAGATGCAGATGTTCAATGGCAAGTGCGCCTCCCAGAAAACACCCGGAGCCACGCCCCCCTGAGCGACCCGCCGCTTGTCAACACGGGCTCGTTTACCATGTGAGAATTTGTCGAGGCGCCTCGTTGGCCACGTCGTTGTAAAGCTGCTGAGCCTCGTGGGATACCACACGTTGGTGTCGAACCCCGACGTTTCTGCAATTATGCTTAGCTCATGTCGGAAGTTCGGCCCATCCCGCCACCGTGCTTGGGTTGCGGGTCGGGGTTTTCAGGGGTGCGTCGTCGGTTCTGCTCGGAGCGCTCTCGGGGGCCTCTTGGCGGCAGTTTTGGGGCCTTTGGGAGCCTGTCGGGGGCCTCTTTGGGCCCCTTGGGGGCGTCTTGGAGCTTTTTGGGTGCCTCTCGACGGCCTCTTGGGAACTCCCGACGACTCGAAAAAACCATTCGGTTTCCCCATCTGGGCCCCCCCTTGGGACCGTCTTTGGGCCCTCTTGAGCTGTCTTGGGCGCTTCTTGAGCCGTTTTGGCGCCACTTTGGGCCTTTTTGTGGCCCTCTTGGGGGCGTCTTCGGCTGTGTCGGGACGATGTGGGGCCTCGCGGCCCGTCTTGTAGCGTCGGGGCGCCGAAAAAGCGAGGACGCCCAAACCCTTCAAACACCATCTTGGGAGGCGTCTTGGAGTCCTTTTCGAGCGTTTGGAGGCCTGTTGGGCCGCCCGGGGCCCATCACGGGCGTCTTGGAGCGACCATCTCGGGGGTCTCTCAAAGCTCTCTTGGCCCATCTTGGGGCCCTCTTGGCTCCCGACAAATCATGCAACAAGCCGCGGAGAACTGCGACCCCCCCCCGGAGATTTGTGAGTTTGGGGTCCTGGCCCCACCAAGATTTTTCTGGAGTGAGGATGAAGCTTTGGACGAGTGGGCAAAAGACCCGAGGATACGCTAAGCGGAACGGTGGCGCATTTTATGGATGCTTGGCTGGACGACAACTATTGACAGACTCAAACAATTAAGTATGGGCGACGCTTTGAAGCGCTTTGGGTTTCCTTGGGGCATGCTGCCCATCATTGAAACCGTCTAGGCCGAACACTACTTCACGATCGTGGACCAGACCGGTAATTCAAAAGCACCGCAGGCAGGCATCACGCAGGAATTGATTCGTTCGTTTTGTTGTTTGCGGTACAGTTGGTTATGTTGCACGGTGTTTTTGACACGATTGAATTCGAGGTTGACCCCGTCTACATGGTGACGCCGGATTTGTTGTATGCAGGCGGCGTGCTCTTGGCATCGCAGAGAAAGGCGAATGTCCAGAACAGGTTGAACGGTATTGTTGCGGAGGGGCGTAAAGATGGTCGTGAGCTTGACTCGGGCGACAATTCCACATGCATGTTGCTACCACTGTCGTTGTTTCTCGGCCGGATGGAGGCCCCACCCAGACCGTGCGAGAAGCGCTTTATTTCGGGCGGGCCCCGATAAATTGTTTACCCGCCGCCCGAGGGAAACGCTTAGCATCCCCAACAAGCTCACAAAGCTATGGCCGCATACCTGCAGTGGGCTGGACAAGAACGAACATTTTGTGCGAGTGAGTTGTTTTAAGTGAACTGTTGTATTCACCTGATTTGTGGCGGCTGTTAAACGAAGACGCATGCAGGCTCAATGCATTTCATAGCCGCTGCCTGCGGCAACCCCCTGGGCACGCCGCGCTGTTATCTGTCGCGCGGGCAAAGCGGATGTCATGAGTAAAGATGGCGCCAACATTTCCCCCGAAGTTGTGTTTAGATGGCAAGTGGAGTCACATTTCAAAATCGCAGCAAGCGGGTCTTTTTTTGTTGGTACGACATTGCGTATGTGATACTGTTGAGGTCCCAGAAATGTTGGGTGGTACACAGACGGCGAGAACAGGGCAAACGACAGTGGGCTTCTCGAGCGCACAAGCTGACGCAACACATTTTGGGTACGCTCTGTCTTGCCCGCCTGTTCCGTCAAGTTTTGCGTGTCGTTGTTCGTCTTCCCCCGAAGAAATGCCAATCGCGCGCTCTTCTGCCCACGCATCCTTCTGGATGTTCGGGTCAGTAGTAGTGGTGGCAGAGTACCGCTTGTGCGGCGCGATTTGTCCTGCCTTTTTTCCGTTCCGACCCAATTCGGGAGGTTTTTACGTCGAGGTGGAAGGGGATGACGACGACGAGGATGATGGGGGGAGAGGGAAAACGTATGAGGAGCATAAGTCCGATCGGAGACAGGAACATCAGAGTGGTGGGGCGGCGACCGTGCCTGGAAGGGTGATGGGGGGGGAGGGGGCAGGAAGGAATTCGGAGGGGGAATATCGAGGATGAGGATGGGTGGTGCACGGGAATGGGAATACGAGAAGCGCCAGGGACTTACGTCTGGCGCCGTGTCCTTACCGGCTTACCGGTTGTGACTGTTCGTGCCCAGTCCCCCGAGCATTGGTCTGTCGGTCCGCGCATGCGATCATGGACGCAAGGGCGGGGTAAAGTGCAGAGTGCAGTAGGTGTTCGATGCGCACAAACAGAAGCACGCGTCTGCCTTCCAGGTACAGCGAGGAGTTGCTGCCGTACCTGAAGATGAGTTTCAGGACGCCGCCCTCTCCCAGAGCACCGCCGCTCGAGTCAAGGCTGCCTCGATGCGTCCCACGGCCTGCCACGCGTGACCACCGAGTGGAGTTTGGCATACGGAGGCGCAGTACGCATGTTGCGCCAGGGGGAGGCTGAAGGGTGATGGCGTCGCGGCCGGCCACTGCTGCCCATTAGTGATAGAGAACAGCTGCGCCGTCGGTCATCGTCGCATGCTTGGCCAGGGTCTGCGAGGAATGGTGGGCAGGATTGCCAAGGGCAGTTTTTGATTCAAGATGGTGGTCGGGGGCAGAATCTGTCTTGCAAGGTCTGCGCGGATTGGTAATATGGTAGGCAGCGTCTGGGTACAAGGCATGGTTCCCATATTGGTTTTTGGGGCGAGCTTGGGTCGTCGACGTAGATCCAGATGTATAGCATATAGCACGATAGTTTTACATACACTTCGTATGGCCATGAGTTGTTTGACACATACCTGTGGCATGTTGTAAATTTCATGTGCCGAAGGATTATTGTGTGTGTGTGGGGGGGGGGCAGTGTAGCGACAGTGCTAGCAGCTACACGCTTCGGCATGCGGTACAGTCGTCAACCACGTGGTGTCATACGTCTTTTCCGAATCCACAATACTTCGCAGGACCCACTTTGCCAGTGTACGCAATGGACGTTTACAATGTTATGTGCGGTTCGCATGTCTGCACTTGTTTGACATTGTCCATATTTCTCGTTGGGCTTGCGACGTGCACGCTGAACATCTAGTGAGCCAGCACCCAGGAGCTCATTTTCAGAAGCGTCAGCCTTCGGCCCTGAAGCGTGCGCCATTGCTGGGGGGAGGATGAGCTGCATGTTGTACGCATTGCTCCTGGCATTCTGACGTGAATCAGGATTTTTAGCTTGTTCGAGCAATGCCATATTCGCCCAGACTCTAGCCGAATCCGACTACCCATACTACTGAGGAGCGAATTGCCAACAGCGTATGGACAACAAACGTCTGTTTTCGATATCCTTGCATTACACTTGGCAGCTCTTACGTGTACAGGGCGTCTTTTGTCGACCTCAGGGATGTTGAGAGCATGTTAACGGTGGAGGCAGGTCGTATTACCCTGGGGGTAGCACAGGGGCAATGGAGGATGTTCATGAGTGCAGCGTTCAGCAATGGAAACGATTGATTCACAGCGACTGAGTGAGAAAGAGAGAGAGAGAGAAGGATGGATAGGGTGGTCAAGATGAGCACGCTAATCTGCGAAGAAGCAGTCTGGGGAGCAGTGGGAAACGTGGGGAATATGGTGACAGCTCAGGGAGCTGTCACGACGAGCAGGGAGGTTCTGGCGATCACGCACGAAGCGTGGGAAGGCGGATAATGGCTTGTATTCGAAGAAGGAGCGAATAACTGTATAAAGTCGGCCAGGATTAGTAGGGCGACCCTGCCAGATCAAGGGTACCCTTGTGTCCTGTGGTTCGCGACCCACGCTGTCTACATTCCTACGGCGATGTGGCCCTCGAAAGGTTGTTGTGTCCTCTCACGTGTCCTCTCCAATCAAGCCCGACTGTACACTCGACGTTCGTAGGCCGCGTTGACTCCTTGGATCGGCGGCCCTGCGCCCACCCACAGATAGCCGCGCGGACCTCCGACAGGTTCTGCCCGCGATGATCCCCACACGACGCGTTGGGGATCTCCCCACCCGCCTCGCACACCCTCCTCCTCCTCCTCCTCCTCCTCCTCCTCCTCCTCCTCCTCCTCCTCCTCCTCCTCCTCCTCCTCCTCCTCCTCCTCCTCCTCCTCCTCCTCCTCCCCCTCCTTCTCCTCCTCCTCCTTTTCCTCCTCCATTTCCACCTCCATTTTCCCCTCCTCCTCTTCATCCTCCTCCTCCTCCTCCGGTGCTTCCCTTCCTGGGTGTCCCGCCTCGTGCTCCCGACGAGTACGACGGCCGCGTGCCACGGCCGCCAGGCCCAGAGGGGGTCCCGCCTCGCGTTTTTGCGGGCAGGGACCGCCGTGTGGTGCTGTTCGCTGCCCTCTTCTGGGCCTCCTCGCTCCCTCCTTGGCATCGCTCGGACGTGTGCATGTTGTCTCGGCGAGAACCATCGAGGACCACCCTGGACCATCGAGCAGCAGAAATTGCACGCGCGAAACTAAAACGTGCACGGGAAACAGAGGTCCGAGCCACGGCAGGCCTCCTCCGTGGTGTGCCCACTGCGTGCCCGCCGCGGCCCGCCAGCTCCTGCAGGCGCGCTTTGCGACCGCCAGCGCTGCCGCCTCAGCGTGCCCATCCTCTGCTGAAGGGGCCCTGGGACATACAAACAAAGACACACAAATAACAGGATTCCCCATACTTTTCCATATTTGGGGGACTTTCGTCTTCCTCCCCACTTCCCATCTTTTCGCACAGTCACCTTCTTTGGAATCGACGATTCGTTGTGCCTGTGTGTTTTTCCCTCCTGATCTGTGGAAGTGCGAGGGCACGTCTGGAGGCGGCGGCTTTCCTTTGCTGGCCGCCGCCGGCGCAGGTACAGCGCGGAGTTCTACGAGGCGGCGCCCCCCCCCCCCTCTCCCGCCCGGCACGCCGGCGGCGCTGCGGCCCGCACGGGACGCGGCCTCTCCATGCGGTGGCTCCGTGCAGGGGCAACGTTTTTTGGTGGATCGGCTCAGAGGGGGGGGGGGGGGAAGTTTCGAGGTTCGAGGTGTTCGGGCGTGTTTCCTCCTCGTTCCGCCTCCTCCTCCTCCTCCTCCTCCTCCTCCTCCTCCTCCTGGGGGGGAGCAGCTTCGAGGTTCGAGGTGCTCGGGCGTGTTCGTCGGTTCCGGGCGGGCCTCCAGCCTCGGGAGGCCTTCCAGAGCGGCTGCGCCTCGCCGGGAGCGTTCCCGGGGGTGCCCGAGTCGTCCCGAACGGCCGCTGGAGGCCCGAGCTCTGACCCGAAAGCCACCAGGGGATGGGCTGCCAGGGAGTCACCACCCACCAAACCACCCCAACCCAACCCGAAGGCTCAGATTTACCTTCGATTTCTAGTGGGGGGGGGTCCGGGAACATCGAAAAAACACATATGGAGCCCATACCCCCCCCAACCCGAAATTCGGGTCTTCGGGTTGGGTTGGGGTGGTTTGGTAGGTAGTCAGGGAGGGAGCGCATCCGGTGCCCCAGTCGCCCTCTGCTTATGTAGCAAGTCATGGGAGCCTGGTATAGCCTCGCAATTCCGTCGTTAGCGTCGACTGGCGTCGACGAGCGTTTGGGAGTCGATTAGACAGCGTCGAACAGCGTCCATGTAGCGTCGTTCAGCGTCGATGTGCTTCGACTGACAAGTGCCAACAGGATGGTGTGGGAGGCTCCCATGAGTTGCCACAGAACACTGCTCGCCGGCAGGGGCCCGACAGCCCACCCCACGCGGAAACTTGCGGGCTCGCTATCGGGGGCTGAGCTCACTGATCCATCGGCGATGCATCGCCGATTCCAGGTCGGCGGTGCCCCCCCCCCTGAGCGTGAGTCGGGCATGTTCCTCTACAGGAGGGAGGTTCAAGAGTATTGCAAACATAGTCTGGGGACGAGTTTTCGTTCTCTTTTGATGTTTGTTGGTGTAAGCATTCGCTGTGTTCTTCCAAGACCCGCCTGTAGGAGGGCATGCCCGACCTAACCCTGAGCTGGCCCCCCTCCTTGCGTTTCCCCTCCTCAGTCTCGCGGACCGAGCAGGCTGTCGCCGATGCGGGAGGATGATCCACAAATTGTCGCTGCTCGAGCTGGACGGTGACAAAGGTCGACGCGCTATTTTCGCGTTCAGTCTTGGTCATGGTCCCCTTTTTTCTTCCCTTCCACTGACGGGGCCCCAGGCACTCGGCGACGGAGTTCGTGTTCACGCTCTCGTGGTCATGTTCCGGCTGCGCGCGCAAAGCCAGAGCCTGCACCATTGGCCTCGCCAGAACCGGTGTTGTTGGATACAGTCGGCCCGGATTAGTAGGTCGACCCTGCCAGATCAAGGGTACCTTTGTGCCCTGTGTCTCGCGACCCGTGCCTCCTGCATTCCTGTGGCAATGTGGCCCCCGGAAGGGCCTTTGGTCCTCTCGCGTGTCCTGTCCAATGAAGTCCGGTTGTCGCTGGCGCTCCCCCGGCTCGAAGCAGAGGAGCGTCGTGGGCAGATGTTCGGAGTTCCGCGCGGACTTCTCGGAGGGGCGCCGGGGGCCCCCCTCGGCAGGGGCAGCGTCAGAGGCGCCGCCCGGGGGGCTCCGGCGCCGGCCCGAGACATAAGCGCAGACCCCTTCCCCTCCTCGTCCTCCTCCTCCCCTCCCTCGTCCTCCTCCTCCTCCCCTTCCCTCGTCCTCCTCCTCCCCCTCGTCCTCCTCCTCCCTCGTCCTCCTTCCCCTCCCTCGTCCTCCTCCTCCCTCCTCGCTCCCTCCTCCTCCCGTCGGGCCGAACGAAAGGGGGGGACAGGGAAAGGGGGAGTTACGAAATCTGCGGCGTGCAGCTGGTGTCGGCCCCGCCGCCGGGCCCATTCCTCGATACATGGGCGCCTCCCGGCGCCGGGAGGCGCCGGGAAAATCAGCTACGTGAGCTGACTCTCAACCCCTCCCCTTTGCTTTCCCCCCCTTTCGCCCGGCCCGATCCTCCTCCTCCTCCTCCTCCTCCTCCTCCTCCTCCTCCTCCTCCTCTTCCTTCTCCTCCTCCTTCTCCTCCTCCTCCTCCTCCTCCTCCTCTTCCAGCTGCCGCGATGGGTCGAGGGGGGGGCAGGGTAGCATAATGAACTTGCTTTTTTTCATTATCTTTATTGTTGAGAGTGTGAGAGCTTTCATGGAGCTGACAACGGTGGGGACTGCTACCTGTTTTCGTTGGTTGCGGGTCCTGGCCTACAATCCCCTGAGTGCGTCGACTACGGATCGTTTGGAAGATCTTGAATGCTCTTTTCGCTCGTTTGATGTGGCTGTCATCGTCGGCACGCAGCAGAGGTCGGCCCCCGACGGCGAGGTGACCAAACGCAGGATCGGCAAGAGCTTGCTGGTGCAGGCAGGTTGGCTGCCGTCGCCCTTCGTCACCAAGGCGGCAGGCATGGCTTTCTTGCTCAGTGGTTGCTTCTCTGAGAATTCAATTCGGGGACCTCCTCTGCTCCCTCCGCGACAGTTGCAGGGTAGAGGTTTTGGGCTACGGCTGAAGGCGAACAGGGTGGATGTCACCATAGTCGGAGCCTATTTCCCTCCTCGCCCATGTGAACGACGTGTTCGTGCCAACTATTTCTCGACAGTGCAGAAGATTATTGGATGGCTAAGATCGGTTTTCCAGAAGATCAGAGGACGTTCGATTCCGATACTGGCCGTAGATCTGAATGATGGCATGGGTTTAGAGGAGACTGCTGGTTCTTATGATTTCTCGGGAACATCGGTTATTCGCTCTGAGGTAGCTACGCGTGAAGTCTGGCGAGATGGAGCTGGGCATTCTCTTAGATTATTACTCGAAGAATTTGATTTCTCTTTTGTGGATGGTGGTAGTCCTCTCACAAATACCTGGTACGGACCCAAAGGTGAAAGCAAACGGCTGGATATGATTTTTGCTCCTTCTACGATGGCCTCTAGAGTGTACAGAGCTGGAGTCCTTCACCGCTTGGGGCGCCAAGTTCAGTTGATCCGAACCAAAGCCTGTCGTGATCACCTACCCGTGCACGCTGCTTGGAAGTTAGAATATTTCAACGGTCCGCGCAAGAAGGACCTCTCTAGATGGGATCAGAATCTACTGATGGAGGGGTTGATGAAGGGAGAGAGGAGGAGAGAATTGCTGAAAGCGATCAATGATGAGTGTGAGGAGAGAGAGTTGGAGTTGACTGAGTTGCTGAGTGAACGTACTCCTGACAGTTTTTTCTCTGTCCTGAATGAGCTGATTGTTCGTCAAGGACTTGCTGTGTACGGTGCAGAGCAGCCACATTCCCATGACTTGCTGGAGATGAGGCGAGAAAGGGAAGCTCTTCTGGCACGGCGCAAAGAGATTAGACTCGGGTTGTCTGAGGCTGATGACGAGGAGGAGGAGGAGATTGCAATGCAGCTGAAGAAAGTTACCCAGCTCGCCCACATGATCAGGCGCGCTCAAATTGATGCTAGACGTAGGCTCTACCTCGAACTCCTTCAGGAAGCCTGGCGGCAGCGGAAGTTCGTAGAAGTAAATACTTGGTCTAGGCTTGCGGCGGGGAGCTCCTGGGGACCGAGGAAGAGGAACTACGACCATCTTTCGGGAGCTGGAATCACAGAAGAAGAATGGTTGGAGGTTTGGAGTCGTCCAGGAGGTGAAGGAGGTATGGAGGCGGTGAAGATTGACTGGGAGGAGCATCGTCGCCAGAGGATGAGGAGGTGTTTCGTGTACGAGGGGTACTGGGGGGACTACCTGGAGGAGGCAGAGGAGATGATCAAGGGGGTGGTGGAGTATATGAAGAGAGCTCCGAAGCGCAGGGTGTGTCCTGCTGAATCAGCCCCGCTGGAGGTGTGGTTGATGCTTTGCAGACCTCGTGATAGGTTATGTTTTCGGCACGCTGGGTTGGGCTGGCAGTCTGAGAACTCTGGCTTCATCCCGCAGGCTTTCGAGGCGCTCCTGAACAGAGGATTTGGGAAGATTGTCGCTTCTGGTCGGGTCCCGCTGGAATGGAATAGAAGTCAGGGAGTAGCTCTTCATAAAAAACATGTCGAAGGGGCCACCAGTAAACGAGTTGTGCATTTATTAGATGTGCTCGGCAAGGGTTTTTTTCGCGTCGGCGATCAAGCGCGGCGTCTCTACCAGATTGGGAGATTGTGAACATGGGTTCTGCAGGGGACGGAGGAAGGAGGGTGCAATGTTGGTCCAGCAGTGCAGTATGTACAGAGTTCGTGCTTGCGGTCTGTCTTGTCTCTTACAAGGCAAGGATATGGCCAACGCTTTTGCTTCGTCTTCCTGGGCTGCCCTTGAGGAGGCCAATTGTGAACTTTTGAATCCTGGTGAGCGTGTTTATGGGATGCAGCGGTATCAAGAAGCCGCAGTGCGTTTACCGATTGAAGGGGGGAACGTGACGGTCAAAACCAGGGTGGGAGCTCTTATGGGGGATCCGTACGCTGTGCACGGCTTCTGTCGAGCTTTTCGGCCTGCCATCGATGACTGGCAGAAGCAGCATATAGATTTCGACCCGATGGCGGATGCTCTGGTGACTCAGCATCCCTTCCTTCCCGATGTTCGTGTTGATTTGTCTTTAACGAAGTACGCCGACGACGCTGAGAAGCTTTTCATCGAAACTCCCTGGGTCCGAAATGATGTGCTTTGTATTCCATGGACTGGACGGTATCAAGCTGTTCGGGGATTTGGAGCGGGAGTTTTTGAGCTGTGCCATAAGGCTATGCATTCTAGTAGTTTACTTGATCATTGTCTTGAAGCCCGTGGATATAAACAAAACGCCTCGAAGCAGAGCAACCTGTTTTCGCTGGTGGGTGTGGGGTCTGGGATCGGTCGCAAACTGCTAAAAAAGCCTGGCCTTCCGATCGAGGGGACCATCCATGAGGTAAAAAGAAGCCTTGGGGGACAAATACATTTTAGAGGTTCGTCGACGGCGGAGATCACAAAGCGTCTAGAGGCTATTCAGAAGGCTTTTCATCAGGCTGGTCGTTTTTGGAAGTTGCACGGTATTCCCTGGCGCTGGAGACGGTGCATGTTTCTTGCTAGATGTGTCAATGCTGCTCGAGCGAATCTGGAGGCGTTTATCGTGTCCGATTGGGACTATCGGCGTCTGGATTCTGCTCTTGTCAAGTACGCTAGAGTTTTGATGCGTGGGAGGGCTTCAGATGACTCGGGGGCTCACATGAAGACGATGACTAATGATGACGTTTTGAGACATTGGAAGCTCGTCCCCACGCGATTGGAGTGTCAGGTCATTCGTACCAAGTGGCTGCAGGCATGGATCCGCAACCCGCGTAATCATGTACAGGAGGTTACGGTGGTCTTTGGACGGCTCTCTTTTGAACAGCACGACACCGTCGACCGCGTCTCTGGCAAGGTCACTGCTCGTGCGAATCCGTGGGCTGTTCAGGCCTGGAGCGACTGCGTGGATCTCTGCAGAGTCTATGAAAGAGATGATCTACTCGATGCTGCTGCTGGGTCTATCGCTTTTTTCTTCCATGATAGAGATGCGGCTCACGATTTCTGCTCCTTGGACCCCTCGGTGCTCAGAAAGGAGTTCCTGTCAGTCAAGATAGCTCCCCCTGGGTTCGAGGCTCCAGAGGTTCCTGAAGTGGGTCCTGAAGTTCAGCGAGTCGATGAATGTACCTTTAAGTGCTTGATGTCTCGGGGAAACCATGTTTGTGGGGAAGTATTCTCGTCTCATCGGGGCCTCTTGGAACACGTTCGTCACGGGCACGGGATCCGCAACCTGTCTTCCCTCTTGGTGAGCTCCAATAGATGCCCCAACTGCCTCGAGATTTTCGCGAGTAAGATACTGGCGGCTAGGCACTTGTCTGGGTCTTTGGGACGTGGATATTGTCTTAAGGGACGCGCTTATGCTCTCAATACCACTGGGGCCTCCTCTTACAGATGCCAGATATGTGAGTTCGACGGGGGGTCCGAGCTCGACTTGCTCCAGCACGTCCGAAGCCATTTCCCTCAGTTCCTGGGTGTCTGGGATTGCTGCGCTCACAAGTTCATCACTCATGCCCGAAGTGACGGCGATGCCCGCCTGGATGGGCAAGAGGGTCGCGATGGCGTCGTCGGAGCCGGCACACAAGAGAGCGGCAACCGGTGCTCAGGCGGCGGCTGGGGGAGAAGATGGTGGCAACGGCGGAGGTCGGCAACCCCCTCGTGGAGGCCAGCGGCGACAGGACGTGGACAGTCTGACCGAGGCCGCGGCCAAGCTCGAGCTGGCGAACTCGGCCGACCTGCGCATGATGCTAGGCGCTATGCTCACGTGCTTCCTGGCGCCGCTAGAGGTCGCAGTGATTCAGGACTTGCTCGAGGCTGGTCAGCAGCACAACGCAGAGTCGCAAGCGTGGGCGAAGGAGAAGAAAGAGGCCGTCGCCCGCTCAGAGGACCCCCCGCCCAATCCGCAAGGGCCGCCACACCTCGTGTTGTTCGGAGTGGCCCTTCATCACATCGTATCGAACATCGAGGCAGAGAAGGCGGGGGACCCCAACTTAGTTCTTTTAAAGGAGTTCTGGGAGCAGCACATGTCGAAGGAGGGAGGAGATCTGAAAGCGGCAGAACACTTCAAGGTTCTCAAGGTGAAGCGTACCAAAAAGATCGAGGGGAAGCCAGAGTTGGTGAAATTGCAGATGATGACGGAGAACTCCCCCGTCGCAGTAGCCTTCAAGTGCGAGTTCGAGAGGATTCTTTCGGAGAAGGGCGGGAAGAAGATGCTAGGAGGCGCGCCGAGGGGGGCCCTGGAGAGAGAGGTGCAGACCATCCTCGATCGTCTGAGGCGGCAGCGTTCATGAAGAGTGAGAGGTTCAGGGAGCTCCGCAGTAGAGGCCTTCTAAGTGAGCGGGGTAGGGACTTAGCTTCCAGAATTTTTTCGAGCCCCAGCCAACCTAATTCAAGCCTTCCTGGAGAGACCCCCCCCCAGTATTCAGGGCTCCGTTGGAGCGAAATCGGGGGGGAAGGGCTCCAAAGAGATAGTTGCTAGAGATGCCAGTGGAGGCCCATTAGTAGAATACCGTCGTGAGCCTCGAACTAAGGGTCGGGGTCGCAAGGGAAGAGGGAGGTAGTGCTTTCTCGGGCGGCTGCCTCTGGCCGCGTGCCTCCTCTGAGGCATGCTGCTCATCGAGCCCGTGCAGTCCTTGCTGCCAGAGTTCCCACTCTAGCAGCGTATAAGCTAGTCAATAGCTGCGCAGGAGCGGTCTCAGGCAACTCTGTATTCTAGTCAGTGGTGTTTGAGAAGTTTTGTAGGTCTGATTTGACACAGCTTTGAGGTGGATGAATCATTCGCTCCCAATGGCGTTAAGGTCTAAGGTCTCCTCCTCTTCCCTCCTCCTGGCGCACACTCCAAGTCTCAAGGTCCGTGCATGAAGCGGAGGCGCCGTGCGCGCGAAAAAGCTGCTCTGCTCCCTGCCGCTTGCGCAGCTCGTCTGGCCAGGCCCCCAGACCCGAGGCGAGGGGAGGCGGTCGGCTCCCCTGCTCGTCGGCCTCCTCGATCCCTTGAGACGGGGGGCAATGCAAACGGGGGTCGGTCAGAGAGCCGGATCTTACAGGATCCTGCAGAGCCAGGGGCGCATTGACTTGGGCTTGGGTGCATGATCTTGCAGGAGCCTGCAGAGCTTGACTGCCCCGGGTCTGAATTGGCCCGGGTCAGTAGGTCTCCGACCTCCCTCCCTTTCCTCCTTCCTCCCGATCTCGCGCCCCTTCTGCTCCGGAGGGGCAGCAGCGGGGGGGGGGCGTGGGTAGCGGCGGATTGGCAGCCGCCACGCCCCCTGCCTTCGCGCCCCCCCGCCCCCTGGACCGACGAGCGCCCATTGGCGGGGCAGCTGTGCCACCTGGTGCCTCCAAGTGGGGAAGCGTAAGGCTCGAGCATGCCAGAGCTCGAGTTTGCCGATGCTTTTTGACGATCGTGGCCTGGGTTTTGACGGTGCAGTGTTCGTGGGATGTTTACAGCGGGAGCTCGCGTCAATTTCCAGGCTGGGTCTCGTCATTTTCATGATGGGCCCGTCAGGCCAACCCGAGTCCTGCGATCCCGACTCCTTACGTCTCCCCGATGCAACATCTCACGGAGGAGGCAGGGCCCGATTTCGATCCGATCGATCCGGCTCGATGTCGATTCTGGTCGGCCTGTCCCGATTCGATCCCAGCATTCCGACGATCCGATACGCTCCGATGTTTGCACGATGTCGATGTGCATCTTGGCGCAGCCGGATTGATTCGACCTCGGCTCCCTGGCCGATCCGGCGCGCAGTCTGACTCGATCCGATGTCCCGATTCGATGTTGACTGAATGGTATGGGGTGAGGGGAGAGTCGCTGGGGGTTACCGTGGTGGAGTTCGACCAATTCCAGTCCATCAGTATCACTTAGCCGGTTGCTATCCCCTTCCCCCATCCCGATCCCCACCGTCCCACCACCCCAGTTGGGGATATACTTGTCAACACCCGCCTATATCCCATCCAGCGGGGTAAATCGGCCAGTGCGGCCCAGGCCACGCCCGTGGGGATAGGATCGGTAGGCTGAACGATGCTCAGTCCAGGCCGAGATCGTTTCGTCGACCTGTCAGATCAGACCTCGGGAGACTTCGTGGACACCTTCAGCCACCTCCCTTGCCCTGCCCCTCCCTGCTCCCCTCTGCCGCGCCCCCCCCCTTCCCCCCCCCTCCCCCCTCTTTCTGTTTCGCGCACGATGTTGCAGAGTGCGGTGAGTCGTACGTGGTATTGTCGCAAGTGAGTTCGGTTCGGTCTGAGCAGATCCGTTGCCCTCGTCCGTCTCACGCCCTAGAGGCGAGCGTACCTCGATCGGCTTTGGAGAAGTTTGAGACCCAAGTACCGTAGATGCTGTGACGCTGTGCGTGTGAGCCGCTTCCGATTCCCATCCCCTGCCTCCCCCTTTGCTCTTCCTCGCCGCCCCCCCCTCTCTCCTCCTCCTCCTCCTCCTCCTCCTCCTCCTCCTCCCCCTCCTCGTCATCATCATCATCATCATCATCATCATCATCATCATCATCATCATCCTCATCCTCATCCTCATCCTCGTCCTCGTCCTCGTCCTCGTCCTCATCCTCATCATCCCCCTCCTCCTTCTCCTCCTCCTCCTCAGACACAGACACAACATGATGTCAAGCCGAGCAGCTAACAGCAGGCTGAAAGCACGGCTCAAAACCGACCTGAGAGAGAGAGAGAGAGAGAGAGACAAAAAAAGAAGAGAAGAGAGAAGCGAAGAGAGATGGGGCTATGGATGCCTCTGGGCTGCCTGACCGAAATTGCGGTCGGCAGCAGGCCACGCAGAGGCGGGAAGGGGTCTTCCGCGCTCCCGCCCTCGCCCAGGGACCTCCGCCTTTCCCGCCGCCAAGGTGGAAACTTGCTCGAAAGTGAAGGAAGGGGCAGGTGCTGAGCCTAGTGCAGCTCACTTTGCACCCTGGCTGTGGGAGGCTGACGCTAAAAAGCGAAGATACCAAACATCAGAATATAAGGCTAAAGTTGAATAGAGGACCCAAGCTTCGCTGTTTAGGGAAAGAGAGCGACAGCCTCACTTTCTAAGTTGCTTGGAAGCACATGTGGCCTAAACTAGCCCACTCCGTTGCGGCACAATGCCGCGGGTGTTTCCCAGGTGTGTGCAGCAGCTGCGGAGGAAAGGGGGGGAATCTTCCTTCTCCTCCTCCGATAAACACGCGCAGCCCAAACACGCAACACACACATACACTATAATACTCGGCCCCTCCTCTCCCCCTCCTCCTCCAGAAATGGCTGGCAGGAAGCAGCAGAAGCTCTCAGGGATAGGGATCGGGAAGACACGATAGGATATGGTTGGAGTAGGGGGCAAGGGAAAGCTGGGGAGGCGTCTGTTGGGCAGTGGCCCAGGGTCTCAGACAAAGCTGCCTGCATGCCTTGCCCAATCAGTTGTTGAGGAGTCTGCTGCGAACCACTGCATTCACAGTCTCATTCACATTATCCCTCTGACGCATTGGGATTGCAAGCGAAGAAGGAGGCGGTACATATGTCGTGTGCCCATGTATTACAACTCTGGCAGTGGACGGCCCTCTTGAACTTGGCACATTTATCTCCACACATGTAACACTTCGCTTTGCCAGACGGGCTCGAAGGGACCAAGAATGACGAGCGCCCGAATATTCCCGCACACCTCCTGCACGGGTAGCCTTCTGCAGAACTGTATGACATGTTGCCATTGCTGCACAAGTCCTCAAACGTTGAACTCCCGTCAGCCTCGTCCGCTGTCGTATCTTCAACGGCGCCTGCTGTCTGGGGCTCTTCCTTTTGGTATGCCGAGGTGGCACACACGCTAAAGTCCCGAAGTGCGACGGGAAGGAGAGCACGATCTTTCAACACATGTTTCTCAATTTCAGTGCAGTCACTGGCCGATTCATGGCCATCGTGTTCACTGCTGTGCGTACTCATGTGTGGCTCCACAATGAAATATTGTACCATAGCCTCTTCATACAAACAATCGAGATCTGAGACCTCCTTCTGCAATTGCTGATGTAGAGCGGCCAACGTGGCGTTGGCGGTAGTGTTCAGCAGCCCAATATCGTCCATGATTAAGCACCCCCTGGCTGTGTTGATGTCGGTTTGGCTCTCAATGTCCACGCTGGCTTTTGAGAGTTCGCCGTGTGGAGTCTGAGCTGCTACATTTGAGCGCTCTTCGAATATGTTGAAGAGCTCCACCTCCTGTCCATACTCAGAATGTACGGCTCCCTCCAATGGGTCTGGCGGAGAGAAGTCGGATTCATTGGCACTGTCAGAATGCACATCGTCCTCCATGTGTCCCCTCTGGCCCGAGAGTTCCAAGTCGAGTTCAGTGAGAAACTTACTGACTTTCTCCGGGGAGATCTTCCTCGACCATCCTGCTCTAGTGTCCAGCTCCCGACACCTGCGCCTTCAGTGGGAGGTCATTGCGCATTTCTTTGCTACATATGAACAGCCTTGAAGAGGGCTGCCGCAAGTTTTTGAAAGGCGAAGCAAATTTTCCCTGTGAAGGAAAGCGACAAGATAATGGACATCCGACTTCGGATCGGGAAACATTGTGAGGGCCACAAAGGGAGGACGTTCAGTAAGCGATGCACGCTATGGAACAATCTGTTGGCCGTGCCTTGAGCCAAATGGCTACGGAGCCTCCTCCTCCTCCTCCTCCTCCTCCTCCTCCTCCTCCTCCTCCTCCTCCTCCTCCTCCTCCCCCTCCCCCTCCCCCTCCTCCCCCTCCTCCTCCCCCTCTTCCCCCTTCTCCTCCTGCTCGCCCTCCTCTCCCCCCTCCCACCCCCAAACCTCTGCTCTCCCCCCCCTCCCCTCCCTTCGCTCCTCCCGGAGGCCTCAGGAGGGCGACTCTCGACCGACCGACGGCGGCGCGCCGGCGGAGGGCTTTGCATCGACCAGGTCTGATCTAGGCCTCCGAGATGGGGTCGGAGTAGATCGGGGTCGAATGATCGCGACGCATCGCCGATGCATCGCCGATGCCGCTCGATGTGCAGCCCGATTTGCGTCACGTCGACGTCCCCCAGGCATCGCCCACGTCCACAATGCATCGCCAGTGCATCTCCGATGCATCGCTGATGCATCAACGATGTATCGCCGATGTATCAGCGATGCGCCGCGATCCTCCGACCCCGTTTACTCCGACCGCATCTAGGAAGCCTCTATCTGAGGCGCCCGGGTGCAATCAAGCAGTGGCGAAGCGTCCCGGCTCGCTTATGGGCCTACCAAAGATTGTCCTGAGAACCGTTTGTGGTGTCCACGGAATGTTCTTAGAACATGTTGGGTTGGGGTTGTCTTGTTTCAACTCATCGGGTTGATGCTCTAAGAACATCGTTTCTGTTTTTCGAACATGTTTGGGTTCTAAGAACATTTCGTGGTAGGACTATACGGATGCCGGAGCGGTCAGTCCCTGCTCAATGCAAGAAAGAGTGTTGCTCAAGTTTTGGGAAAAGGCGTTCCGACTACCAGAGGACGAGCGCGCCCCGGAAGTTGGCGCCCACAGGATATCGTCTTGCTGGGTGCGGCGGGGGGGGGGCATCAGTATACAAGGGCGCGTGCCGACCAGGCGTTTCCGGATCATCCGTCCTCGACGACGACCACGGCGGCAACCACGACGACGATGACGCCCACGACGACCACGACGACGACGACGACGCCCACGACGACGCTCACGACGACAACCGCCGCGACCACCACGACGACCGCCACCACCACGACGCCCACGACAGCCACGACGACGGCGCAACGACCACAGCGACGCAGCCGAGGAGCAGGGCGGGGAGGCCCCGGCGGGCGAGCGGGGCGCTCGCGCGCGCGCGAGGCCGCTCCCGCGGAGGCGAGCTCGAGATCGCTCTCCTTCCGCGGGACGGCGGTGCCAGCCGCCCGCGCTGCCCAGCGGGAGGGGGGGGTCGTCCGCGGAGCACCCCGCCCGAGCCCGGCCGTGGGCCCCGTCCTGTCAGGAGCGAAAGAAGGACGTGCACGTTCATGAATCCACGCTGTTTTCCAGATTTCGCATTGCGCGAATACTCGTATCACGCGGCCGGTCTCGCGGATCAAGGGGCCGTGCTCATGTACATAGCTGGGCGCGTACGTCCTTTGTGGGCTCCCTAGTCCTGGGCACGTCGGGCCCCGGCTGGGACGAGGATGACAAGTACGTAAAGAGCCTCGCCGAGAAGCACCCTGCTTTTGCCTCCAGGGTGCGCTCGGTTTCCTGGGTGTCGTCGGATATCCTCGGAGGCGGACAGACCTCCCACCCTGACACGTTGATGAAGGAATTGGCCGTTGTCGGTTCGCCAGGGGGCGTCGCGGCCGTCATTTTTGCGGGTCCAGGTCCGTCGGTTTCGGTCCCAGGCCGTTTTCACGAAGGGGAGGTTTACTAAAGGGAGGTTTGTCCACCGCCGATATTCGATGGGAAGCGTGGACGTCAATGAACGTGCACGTCTCCCACGCCATTAAATCAAGGGACGTCCTGGGGTCTCAGGGTTGGTGTTCTCGTGGAAAGCTTCTCCCGTTCGGACCCGGGGGCGCCCTCGGGATGCGCAGGCGGACCAGGCGGCTCCGCGATCCGTCGAGCCTCGCTCGGGAGCGCTCCGCCATAGGCGAGGCTCGACTGGAGGAGTGGCGGCCGAGACTCTTTCTACGGCCATTCGACGCCGCGGATGACCAGGCCGCGCGGCTATTTCGGCGCACTCCGTCCGGCGAGCGCTGGCTGACAGGAGAAGTCGGGCTGACAGCGCCCTGCGGCCCACCTGGCGCAGCAGGCGCCGCCTGGGGAGCGCGCTCCCCGACACGGCCGACGACAACTGAATCGCTGGCCCGCCGTGCCCTGCCGGGGCGTCGGCCCGCTCGGGTCCTGGCCCGATGGCAGCTGCTGGCCGGGTGCTGTGCGCCGCGCGTCCGGGCCGCGTATGTGCGGCTGGTGCGTGGCATGCGTTGCGCGCGCTGCCGGTTTCAAGGAGGTGACACGCGGCTATTCGGATGCGACGGACACGAAGACAGCGCGGCCTATTTCGCGCGCTGTCCGGCAGCGCGCCGCCCGTTTCAAGCGCGGGCGGATCTTGCCGGGGCGACGTCTGCTGATGTTCTGGACCTTTTTTCCGGGACCAGAGGACTTGAGGGGAAGGCGCGGCAGCGCGCGTGGACCACGCGCGCTTTGCATGGGCCCACAACGCGCGCCACCGGCCAACGCGGGCGGGACACTCGCATGGCCCTCCATGAGCCAACAAAAAAGAGCCTGCATGCAAAACGCAAAAAGTGTTTTGTTGTTTCCCTGTTGTGTCGGGCATCTCCTCGTTGCGTTCCTCCCTGCCCCCTGGCCCTGATATGTGTTTCTCGTGCTCATGCGTTGGCGCGGGAGGTTCCCCCGGGACGCGACAATTACACTGACCTTGCCTGGCCGCCAGGGGCCTTGAATTGCGATCGTCGCAAAATGATGTGCTTGGCAAAAGTTCTAGCAGCCCTAGCGAAGTTGCCCCAGGTTGGTTATGAAATTTCCGCCCTGGCGATTCTTCGAAGATTTCGCGCCGCCTCTCTGTTCCCGTTATCCTCGTCATCGCCGCGGCCATCCCCGTGCGCCCTCCCGCTCGTCTCGATGGGAATCCCCTTTCTTTCACATGTTTTGTGTTTTGATATTGCTCTTGCGGGGCGCGCTGCTTGTCGCGGGCGGTTCGCGCTCGCGGCTCGGGGCTCTCTCGTTGAAATTGCGGCATGCGTTCGGATCTAGGGGCGCGACGGGATCAGACTCGGTTCGCGACGGGCGCGCGCCTGCGGCAGGTTGGAATGTGCAGCAGCGGGTAAACAGACGCGACCCCAGGGGGGAGGAGGGAGTGGGGGAGGCGGGGGAGTGGGAGGTGGGGCAGGAGGAGGCGGGGTAGGACGAAGGTGCGGCGGGGGGGGCAGGAGGAGGAGGAGGAGGAGGCGAGGGAGGAGGAGCAGGGGAGGAGGAGCTGGGAGAGGGAGGGGGAGGAGGGGAACGATGGGACTCCACAGCTGCAGCTTGGGGTAGCCCGCGTCGAAACAAGGGAACCGAGGCACAAACGAAGAACGGGCGAGGGGCCCGGGCCGAGCCGTTGCAGCGCCAGCCAGGGCGGTGTGCGCGCGCTCGCGCGCGCGGGCGCGCCCCAGCTCGGAGGCCTGATTGCACCCCCCACCTCACCACCCTCGGCGACGAGCCCTCGGGGGGAAGTGAGAAGGGGTGGGCCCTCTCAGAAGGCTCGGAAGTTCCCCGGCCTTTGAGAAATTTCCGAGGCCTTATTAACCGAAGACGCCGAACATGTTTCCGAAGGCGCGAGGACTTCTGAGAAGTCCCGCCGCCTTCTGAGAAGGCCTTCTCCTTCTCATTTCCCCCCCTCGCTCGCCGCCAACACCCACCAGACCACCCCAACCCAGCCTGAAAGCCCCAGTGTGCCCTCCATTCCCAGTGGGGGGGACGCCGGGGAACATTGGAAAAAGACATGTGAAACCCGCACCCCCCCCCCTGTAACCCGTAGTTTCAACCCGGAATTTGGGTCTTCGGGTTCGGTTGAGGTGGTCTTGGTAGGCAGCCACGCCCTGCCGAGTTGGCCATTCTCGGCGGCGCGCCCAGGGGGGAGGGCAGAGGGCGCGGGCCGTCTCGGGAGGCTCAAGGGGCCTCTGGCCATCCGAGGAGGTCTGCAGGCCTTCTCCGAAGCCACACGGGGGGCCTCCTCGAAGGCCGCTTGGGGCATCTGAGAGGCCCCGCCGCCCCCATCTGAGAAGGCCTGCCCCCCCCCCCCGCTTCTCCCCGTGGCGCGCCGCCGACACGGGCGCACCGCTCCCTCTGGGTTCTCGGGAGGGCGTCGCGGCCGCAGCCGTTTCTGGACCGACCCGTGCCCGCCTGGTCCTGCCCCGTGCCGCATTCGTTGCAGTCAACCAGCATCATGAGGACGCAGGGTCAGGATGCAAGGGCCTTGCCAGCCACGCCGACACTTTGCGAGCGGGGCTTGGCCAGCGAAGGCGGTCAAGGATAGACCGACGGGGAAGGATGCAAGGGCAGCCTTGGAAAGTTGCCCATCCTCAGTGCGCGGGCTGACTGCACAGCACGCTCTCCCAACGGGTGATCTGCCGACGGGGCTTCTGCTGCCCCGCGCCCCGGGCGAAGGTGCCGCCGGCGGGCGGCTACGGGACGACGATGGTCAGGCCGGCGCGCGGCCCCCGCCCCCGCGACCCCGCGGCGCGCGCAGCATTTGCACCCGAGCGCAGGAGCAGCCGCTCTGCAGTGCGCCGCAGGGCCGTGCACTGCTGCTCCCGACCACGTTTCTGCGACCCGGGTGACCACGCGGTGCCTTCTCCTTCAATTCAAGTAGTGGCGAAGCGTCTTGGCTCGCCTATAGCCCTACCGAGCAATGTTCTAAGAACCTCGTGTGGTTCCCACGGAATGTTCTTAGAACATGTCTGGCGGAGTCTGTCTTGTTTTATCACATCGGGCTTATGTTCTAAGAACATTATTTTTGTTTTTGGAACATTCTGGGGTTCTTAAGAACATGGCGTGGTAGGACTATAGGAATGCCGGGACGGTCGGTCCCTGCTCAAACCCTTTTTCCCTCCTCAAATTTCGATCCTCTTCAAAATCCGCGCAACATCAGTTTGCAGACCCCTGCCGGTGCGTGCCCGCACTGGCCAGCCTCCCGCTCGGGATGGACTGCTGATGGCTCCAGGGCCCGAGGCTGGCCCCTGCATGACGGAACAGAGTCGAAACACCCAGCGCGAGTTTTGCTCTGCACGAACGAAATGGGCACGGAGAGCATGGGCACCATGCCCAACAGCGGATCTGGTTCATTTTGAACCGGACTCGCTGTCCGCGCCGCCGCGGCCTGTGTCCATTCGAGACAGAAGGCCGCCTGCCCAACAGCGGCCGCTGATGGTTTGGGACAACATTTGTTGGGCATTGTACCCATTCTTTCCGTACCCATTTCGGGCGTCCAAAATTGTCGATGTGTCTCTTTTCCCCCCTCCCCATCCTTTTCTGACTCCTTTGAGAACCGACGTCGTCCGAGCCGCCAGAGCCCTAAGACCTGACATCCCCTGAGATCACCATCCCTGAGATCACGGCCCCGTCCTTCTCTGAGTCCCTTGGGATCACCACCAGAGCCCTGAGAGACCATCTCTCCGCTGCCCTGTTGTTGCTTCCGGAACACCCGTCGAGAGGTGTTGAGTACCATTCGCTGGATTGTTGGAAAAGTAAGTCATTGGAATATTCGTCGCAAGCATGTGGTGGTCATGATTGTTATTTTCAGCTTCAGTCTGTGAAATCTTCGGCCAAGTTCGTCCATTACGGAGGCCGTCTCTCTCGTCGTCCTTTCTATATAGGTATACGCATATATATATATATGTATATATATATATATATATATATATTGTGGCTCACCGTGGGTGCTCGCAATCCACTCTTCTCCTAGTTGGCCACTCTGGCCGATAAGGCGCAGGTAGCAGCTTCGTCACCACAGGAATCTGACAGCTTGAGCTTGCTCGCTACCGCCATCATTGGGCTGCGTGCGCACCTCCCTGTTTTCTGGCACTCTCAGGGTGCATCAGCGAGGGCAGTCGTCCACGCCCTGCCTCGTTTCCGCTGCCGTGCTCGCAAACTTCCTGTCGGAGTGGGGCCGTCTTCTGCCTCGTGCCGTGGCCTGTGCTGGCCTCTGCTCGTGGGCTCTCCCCCGGGGGCCCTGCGACGCCAACCTTTTGCGGGCTTGCCCGCACACGGCGTATGCGTTGGCCTCCGGCGGCGCGCAGGCCTGCCTGCGTGCATGTCGGCATTGACGGTCGGGCGATGCAAAGAAACCGGGTTCGGTTGCGCCGACATTCGCGCGGAAGTTGCCCGCGTAAGGTTGCGCGTAAGCGCCTTCGTGTCCAATGTGGCGTGCCGCGCTGGCGGCCCGCGTAAACCGCGGCATAAGGCTTCTCATCTCGCGTAACACCCGGGTTTGAGCGTCGCTCAAGTGGGGCCACTGGTTGCGAGTTGTTCTCTCATTTCCGAGTTCCTTTCTTACCTGCGCCTCTCCACGCTGGGCGCTGGCAGCGCGTCCAGCTGCCGCTGCATGCGCCTGAGACTGAGAGGGCGTGGAGTTCAGAAAGCCATGCTCCCGTTTTTGTTTGTCCGCTCTCTCCCCCTTCTCTTTTTTACCTAACAGCGAAGACTGATAGGTTTCTAGTGGTCCCAAAAGAGAGAGCATCATGACTCCTCAGGGGGGTCGGGGAGGGACCCGGGGCGGGACCCGGCGCGGCTGCCGCCGCACTCGTTTACAGTCACACACTTCGTGCTCTTCGACCTCCCAGAACTCCATTCCCGGGCCACATTCTGAATGCCCGGAGCCAACTGTAGGCCACTTCGTGCTCTTCGACTTCCCAGAACTCCATTCCCGGGCCACATTTTGGATGCCCGGAGCCAACTGTAGGCCACTTCGTGCTCTTCGAGTTCCCAGAACTCCATTCCCGGGCCACATTTTGGATGCCCGGAGCCAACTGTAGGCCACTTCGTGCTCTTCGAGTTCCCAGAACTCCATTCCTGGGCCACATTTTGAATGCCCGGAGCCAACTGTAGGCCACTTCGTGTTCTTCTAGTTCCCAGAACTCCATTCCTGGGCCACATTTTGAATGCTGAGGCAGGCTGATGCTGCGGCCGAGGCAGGCTGAGGCTGAGGCAGGCTGAGGCTGAGGCCGAGGCTGAAGGCAGACTGAGGCTGAGGCTGAAGCAGACTGAGGCTGAGGCTGAGGCAGGCTGAGGCTGAGGCTGAGGCAGGCTGATGCTGAGGCAGGCTGAGGCTGAGGCTGAGGCTGATGCAGGCTGAGGCTGAGGCAGGCTGAGGCTGAGGCCGAGGCTGAAGGCAGACTGAGGCTGAGGCTGAAGCAGGCTGAGGCTGAGGCTGAGGCAGGCTGAGGCTGAGGCAGGCTGATGCTGAGGCTGAGGCAGGCTGAGGTTCAGGCTGTGACTGCGACTGCCGTTGCCGCTGCGACTGTCATCGCGAATGCGACTACGACTGCGAGAACAGCAGAATTCTACAACTGGATTTTCATCTGAATCTTAGGGGGAATGCTTTCAGATATGCTTCTACACATCGCTGTTAGGTTGCTTTGCCGGGATAATTGTTGTTGTTCTTTTTCCCTCTCTCTCTCTCTCTCTTTCTCTCTTTCTGTCGCTCGCTCCCTCCCGCTCCGCGGTTCTCCCACTTTTCTCCACTTCCCGCCCACTTATCCTGGGTCCTCCTTGTACCGCGTATTACACAAGATTTAAGGGCTCGCTTCGCTTCGCTTCGATTTTGGTCTTGCGCCCACAAGCTGCCAATGATTCGGTGAATGGGTGGTTGGTGAAAGCTGATGATGACCACGAGAGGGATCACGGTCATCATCCAGGAACGGGCCACAGTCATGTCGTTGGATGAGGTCAAAGGGCATCGGTTTGACGGGGCCAAAGTCACGCATGCGTGGTGGGAGGAAGTGTTGACCTCCAGGGGACCGATTGTCATGATGCTGAAGGGCAATGCGATGGTCGTCAACGAATTCAAAAGCAGACGCGAATGATCTGCATTCAGGACGGCGAGGGCGAAGAAGAGAAGAAGGACGACGAGACTGACGAGGAAGACGGGTGCGACGCGACAGACGGCCCCGCTTCCGCCAGAAAGGGGGATACTCTGTGTCCATCAATAGTTCTGGGTCCCCGGACTACTGGTACCCCCCCCGGACTACAGGTACCCCTTCCGTACACCCCCCCGGACTACAGGTACCCTTCCCCGGACTACAGGTACCCCCTCCCGGACTACAGGTACCCCTCCCCGGACTACAGGTACCCCTCCCCGGACTACAGTCCCGCGCGCGCAGACATTCGCGCGCCGAAGCCCGCGCGCGTGGAGCCACGCGTGCTTCGACGAATACCATGCGTGCCCCCCCGGACTACAGGTACCCCCGCGCGGCCCCACCCCCGGACTACAGGTACCCCCCCCCCGGACTACAGGTACCCCTTCCCCAGACTACTGGGATCGATGCCCTGCTTACTAATGACATGCCAAGATTCGATCCTGGTTGGGCAATTTCAAAGACAGATACGTTCAAGTTTGCAATCTGTTTTTGCGCCGATTTATAAGGTGCTTATCGGCGCGCTTGTATCCTGGTTCGGTTACTTGGGTCTCCAGCGAAACGGCGTTGCCAGACGCGGCCCCTGAAAATGGGAACGGCCTTCGGGCCAGACAAATGCCGATATTTTACATATATATCGGCTTTCGCCGTGCTGGATGAGATGCGCTTTTGGCACTCCAGCCGCGAGCGCAGCATAAAAAGAGGGAGTGGGGAGAGGGAGGGAGAGGAGGATGAGAAGCAGGAGCAGGAGGAGGAGCAGGAGGAGGCAGAGCGAGTGCAATTAAGGTGGAGAGCGCAAAGTTGACTGTGAGGGCGAGTCAAGATGCGTGTGTGGAGGGGATGAGGACGAGGAGATGAACGAAGAATGAAGTTGAGAAATCGGGGGTGGGTGGAGAGGGAAGATGATGATGATGATGATGATGATGATGATGATGATGATGATGATGATGATGATGATGATGATGACGATGATGATAATGAGGAGGAGGAGGAGGAGGAGGATGGAGGATGAGAGGAGAAGGGGGTATACTGAGAGGAGGAGGATCACGAGGGGGAGGAGGAGGACGACGACGACGAGCGGGGGGAGGAGGAGAAGGTGAAGAGGAAGAGGAGCAAGAGGAGGAAGAAGGAGAGGGAGAGGAGGAGGAGGAGAAGGAGGAGGAGGAGGAGGCGACAGAGGAGGAGGAGGCGACGGAGGAGGAGGAGGAGGAGGCGATGGAGGAGGAGCGGTGAGGAGGGTGGAGGGCGAAGGGCGCTGAACAGGAGGAGGAGGAGTAGGAGGAGGTACCGAGCGATGGAAGCGCGAGTCCGAGCTAACGGACCCGCCCCAGCGGCGTGAAACACAGAAGCTGCACCGTGCCCTTTCCGACATCTCCGACCTTGCCGTGTTCTCATGGTCGGCTCACTCCTGCTCTTTGTTGCCATCACTCCCCCAGTGCCCTCCTCCCCCTCATCCTCCTCATCCTCCTCCTCGTCATCCACCTCGTCATCCTCATATTCCCTCCTCCTCCTCCTCCTCCTCCTCCGCCATTTTGGTTCACGGGGTAGCCCCTAAAACATCATCCTTGTTG